CCTAGCCCTCACTCTCTTTCTCTCTTCATTACTATTATTCTCAAAAATAGGAAGTTGCCCTGGACACATGGCATTGTGCTGGTGACTTCAAGAAAAATAAAGAAGAAACCTCTTTCTTCTTATGTACAACCCCAGAGAAGGCAGTCACTTTGATCTTTAACAAATGCTGTTTTGAAAACATTTGGCTTATTTTGCTCTCTTAGTGCTGTTGGCTTTTATGCCATTTCCTTTTAGATTTAAATGGGGTTTTTGTGTTCTTTGCCACAGTGAGTTGAGAGTGAGAAGAAGATGGGTTCAAATCCTGTTTTTGATACTTTTGACTAGGATAGCATTAGGCAAGTCACAAAACTTTCTGGGCTTTACTTTCTTCACCTGTAAAATGAAGGTTTTGATAAATTGATTTCTAAGGTTCTCTCTAGAATATAAGATCTTTAATCTATGATCCTTAGCTGGGAAAGGGAATTAAGGAGAGGAAAGGTAGAAAAGACTAATTGGGGTAAAGGGTAGAAGCAGGGAAATGATGGAAAAGACACAGATGGAGTTTAGAGAAGAAAGATGGCAAAAGAGGAGGGGGAAGACTTTGGCAGCTTCTACTCCCAACACCGCAATTTTTATTTTGGCATCTTGATTAATTCAAATTCTAGGCTTCCATGAGTCTTCCATGTGTTCCTAAAGCGATTAAATAGTCCCAGTGATCCCAAGGAAGCTATTATTTTCTTGGATGTGTTGGGCAGGGAGGCTGTCTTTTATAACCATATCCTTTTTCTTCCTCTTTTCTAGCTGGTTACTGCCCTTCCTTCCACTTCAGTCACTGCAAGTGATTTGAAGCTTTCAATCCTCTTGATCTAAGTATCATTGCCATCTTATCTTGGTTGCTTTGATTTGGTGGTTTCCTTCCTTCAATTGTGTGCTCCCTTCCCCTCACATCTTCTCAAAAAAAAAATACTTATTTTCCCCACCTGCTGGGCCACAGATGCCCTAATCTATGTCTTTTACAAAGAATTTGACTAATTTAATCATCCTAATGATTTTGCTGAACAGGAGAAGAAAGCTGTCTGAAGGGGAAAATCATGAGTTTGGTTCCGACCCAAAATATACAGCCTATGTCCTAAAGGGTTGTGTGACTCTAGTGGCAAATTACTAACAAAATATGGTTTGTTAAATTTGTTCTGTTGCTTTAAGAGCATTTAATGAAGAAGTTTCTCAGACATCTGATAGGTTTCTGGGAATTGTCAATATTTCGTATTCTTCTTTTCTCGTGTGGGAGGAAAGCAGGCCCAGGAATCTATATTCAATTTAGCTGGTTGAGGCCTTGCAGATGTAGTGAGAATGGACTCATGAAACATAAAATAATCCTCAGAAGAACGGTCTGAATTTATATTCCATATACTTCATAGCAGAATACCTGGATTTGGTGGTATTTTCTAAGCACAAAACAGCACAAGATGAAATCTCATTAAAGGAGAAGCCTAGGTTATGAGTAATGGGTGGATATACAGAAAGAGTACAGGCCATCTACTTTGTATTTTTAAAGGTGGTCTCTAGTTGCCCTGGCCTGGAATATTGACTATATCCCAGCATTCATTTTCTTATACATACAGCTCAACACAATAACCTTTACTCTTATTCTCTGAAAAGAGGAACAAATAATTTTTTTTTTTGGTGCTATTGAATCAGAATGGGGAAAAGCTTCAAAAGGTATAAAATTCAGAAATTGAAGATTTGTATTTAAAGAGTAAGAAACTTAGCACTGGACCAGAGGCAATTTTGGGGGCCAATAATTTCCACCCTTTCATTTTATAGATGAGGAAACTGAGGCCCAAAGAGGCTAAGTGACAGTAAGTGGCAGACTGAATTTGAACTCAGGCTCTTGGACTTCATCTTCAGCTCCCTTTCCACTGTATCATGCTGTTTTCAGTTGTATATGATATTTATCATAAAATAAATATAGGATAACTCTCAATACCCTGGCCCTTTTTCTTAACCTTTTCAGATCTGAAGAATTCCACACATATTGAATTGTCCAGTTGATCCATAGTAATTTTTCCTTTCTCCTTTATTTGAACTGAGGGAAATTCATGCTAAGGTGGTATGTTCAGTCAGCAGTATCGTTATCAAAAATCCCAAACCACCATTGTGGTCTGCTTCTCAGTGCAAGGATTCTTAACCTAGGGTCTATGAGTTAAAAAAAAATGACAATTGTATTTCAATATAATTGGTTTCCTTTAGTATTTTATATTATGCATTTTAAAAAATTATTCTGCAAAGAGTTATACAGCCTTCACCAGACTGCCGAAGGGGTCCGGGACACGCAAAAAAGTTAAGAACCGCTATCTGTCTATTTGTCTGACTTGGGCAACTTGATAGGTAATTGGGGAAAAAAAGGGAATGCCATTTTTCATGATGACTACAGGGGAAATGGACAACATGGTGAGAGAGTGAGGGAAGGAAGCACTAATCACAAAACTCAGTAGTGATGGAGGAATATGCACTGCTTCTGCTCATAGTAGGCACTTTACAAATATTATTTACCCTCTGCCTGTCACTAGGGTATTGATTGAGAGCCATCTAAATGGCAAACTGGATGGACATTGAGCCTGGAATCAGGAAGACCTGAGTTAAAATCCAGCCCTTAGATCTGTGTGACCCTGGGCAAGTCACTTAACCTCTGTCTGCCTTAGTTTTATCAACTGTAAAATGGGGATAATAATCACACCTACCTCCCATGGGTGTTGTAAGGATCAAATGAGATTTTTGTAAAATGCTTAACTGAATGCCTCAGTCTAGTAAGTGCTTAATAAAAGTTTGTTTTCTTCCCTCCCTTCCTCCCTTACTTCATTCTTTCTTTCCTTCCTTCCTTCCTATTCAGCGGATAAATATTTAGCCTTTTCACTTTTCATTTCCTCTTGGATGATTGCCTATTGCTGATATGTCCATTAAAAACAACATAGTCCCTGACCTCAAGGGATGGTCAGTCTAACAGCTTCAATAGAAGGTGACCTGACTAAAGAAAAAGAAAGCTAGTCACAAGCCAAAAACTTCGGTGGTAGAATGTGAGTTCCTCGAGGGTTGGGACTGTCTTTTGACTTTCTGTGTATCCCCAGCATTTAGCACAATGCCTGGCACCTAGTAGGTACTTACTAAATGCTTGATTACTGACATTGAAAAAAACCTTTAAAATTTTGCCTAAAGTTAGGTTTAGTGAGTTTTAATGAATTCTTTTTTTCTTTGCTCTCCCTAGGGCTAATCTAATTTTCTTGCCATTCATGGCAAAAAGTTTTCTACTCTTATGTTATCAAATCTCTACCCTCCAGAGATGAGGGTGAAATATGATGCTGATTAGGAGCAATTAGCTGTGCCCAAGGAGATGATGTTTTCTGGGAAAAAAAGAACATAATCTACGTTGTGATCTGGTGTGGTGTGCCAGGTCAAGTTAAAGTTCATACTTGGATGCTTGGGGCAAGGCAAGAAAAGAGTTAACCCAAAGCAGTGACTCCAAACGAGGGAAGCTGGAATAAAGCCAGAGAGAAAACATGTAAAAGGGGGCCAGGAGCAACAATGAATTCAGTATTAAGATCTATATTGTTTCCTTGTTTAAGTGTTTATTAAATACCTGTTATATGTGCCAGGCACTGTGCTAATTGTTTTAAAATACTATTTTATTTGATCTTGACAACAACCCTGGGAGGTAGGTGCTATTACTATCCCCATTTTACAGATAAGGAAACTGAGGCAGCCAAAAGTTAAGTGACTTGCTCAGGGTCACACAGCTAGTGCCTGTGATCTCAATGTGTCTGAGGCCAGATTTGAACTCAGGTCTTCCTGACTTGGAGTCTAGCACTCTATTCACCATGCCGTCTATTTGCTCCAGATTGTGACTGGAGCAAGCTGACACATGGAGATTGGGTTGCACTTTTTGAGTTTCATTTTCCCAGTGCAGCGGTGTCAAACTCAAAAAGAAACAGGGGCCAGTAATTCACCCAAAAAGATCCCTGAGGGCCTTAGATTGCCTTAATTAAATTGAATTAAATATGTTACCTTAATTAAAAGCGTAATGTTACCTGTGTTTTCTAGTAGTTCTATTTATTTTGTTAAATATTTCCCGATTACTTTTTAATCTGTTTCAGGTTGCCTAGGGAGTATTGTGGGTCATGTCTGACACCTCCATATGATCATTTCACTTTTTCTCTATGTATGTATCTGTGGTAGTCATGCTTAGAGCAATCCATGAAATGACTAGTATGGATGCTGCCTTATTCTGAGTCTTTTTTTTGAAAAGTCTCCCTTACTGCCTTTATTATTGTTTTTATTTGGGACTCAGAGGATAATATGATGATAGATTTCAATTTGGAAGGGACCTTAGAGGCCATCTAGTTTAACCAACTGATTTCACAGATGAGTTCTCGGAGAATGAGAGGGGCAATATGAGTTGCCTGGGGTTATACAGTTTCAGAGGCAAGATTTGAACTCAGATCTTCCTACTCCATGTCCATCAAGCTTTCCATGGGATCAAGCTGCTTTTATATGTAACACAGTTCAACACAGATACTCTATAAATGTAAATCCTAGCTACAACCAGACTCTATTAAAGTTTAATAATTTGTTAATTATTAGGGAAAGATTTGCTATGTGCACGCTTAAACTCATTTTAATAGAACTTTGAGCTCTCCTTTGTGAGGTGGGAATTATGACTGTTACTTTAAATGGACATTTAATGAGGTTTTGATATTACCCAACTATAATGACAGCCTTCTGGAAGATTATATACCTGTGTGACCAGCCAACCAAGAGAACCTGGGGAAGGGGACAGCCCTGGTAATGGGAGCTGTGGGTGGTGGAGAAAGCTTGATTGGGCTCAAGGCACAGTAAGTCATCTTAGTTCTGTAAAGCAGACAGCCCTTAGACAGGGTTGACAAACGTAATGTGTGCCTCAGAAGGGAGATCAGTCTTTGGACAGACAAGCTTGTAGACTTTGAGACTTAGAAGGAACCTTAGAAGCCATGGCAGAGGAAACAGGCCCCAGCAGGCAAAGTGATGTACTCAAGGTCACCCAGGTAGCAAGTAACAGAGCCAGGTTTTGGCTTCTGGTCCCCTGACTCTAGTCTACTTTCCACTCCGGCTCTCATGGATTGGCCAACAATAGGTCCCAGCCCAAGCCCAGTTTAGTGGTCATTGTTTGGGCCTGATTGGCACAGAGTGAATGTAAATAGCAACTGTTTCTGTTTTGGCCAGAAAACTCGAGGGCCTTCCCCTCCCAGACTTTTTCTTTCTTTCTTTTTTATGACTAGGTAAAGTGGCCATTGTCTGCCTCATTTCTTTTTTCTTTCTTTCTTTTTTTAAATATGAAGCAATTGGGGTTAAGTGACTTGCCCAGTCACACTGCTAGTGAGTGTTATGTGTCTGAGGTCGGATTTGAACTCAGGTCCTCCTGACTCCGGGGCTGGTGCTGTATCCATTGTGCCACCTAGCTGCGCCCTCATTTCTTACCTAGCCTTAATCACTGAATGGGCTTTGCCTCAGTCAAACTGAGACGTGTTAAAAAGGCCAAGGTTTCCTACTGCATTCAGGGCCATTTCCAATCATCCTGATCTCTATCTTCCCTCTGGACCCAGATGACTGCCAAGGAGAAAGTGAGGCTGGTGACTTTGCACAGCTCTCCCTCACTTAAATCCAATTCACTTGAATGTCATGGCATCACCTCCCTGATGTTGTGGTCGTCTTTGGGAATGAAGGACAAACAACAACAACTTTCCATTCTACCACACTGACTTTCAAGAAATGTCTGCTTTCCCTGGGGAGGAAGCTGATAGAAAAGGTGATGTCTTATTGAGGCTCTTGGCCTCTCCAGAGATCGACTTTCCTTGTCAGTTTAGAATAATGGTAGATGAAAAAGCGGAACTCTAGTGAAGGATAGCCACAACTGATCCACGCATATGCTTCAAATAAGCCTTTCCCATAGAGAAATGTACTAAGATAATAATAATTTTCAATTCAATTCAGTAAACATTTATTAAGTGCCTACTATGTGCCAGGCACTGTGCTAAGCACTGGGGATCCAAAAAGAGGCAAAAGACAGTCCTTGATCTCAAAAAGTTTACAATCTAATGGAGGAGGCAACATACAAATATGTACAAAGCAAACTATATACAACACAAATAGGAAATCATTAATAGAGGGAAGGTATTGGAGTTAAAAGGGGTTGGGGAAGGCTTCCTTCAGGAGGTGGGATTTTAGTTGGAAGTTAAAGAAATAATAATAATAGTTATTATTATGATGTGTTATATCATGCTATGCTATGTTATATTTAACATGCTATGTTACAATTTATGTTGTAATTTAACATTATCATAATTATATATAATATAATAATTACATACCATATAATTATAATATATTTATTATTAATAATAATAATATGGTCACTTACATGGAACTTTAAGGTTTGCAAAGTGCTTTATATGTATCTTATCTAATAGCCCCCTCCTAATATAAAATCTTTGTCTCATTCTCATTTTCCCTCCATGGCTACTATTTCCTTGATCTCTCTTATATTTGACCTCTGGATTTCTTAAAAGAATAGTCTATAAATACTGCATACACTTTCTCACCAACCCCTCCTCCTTAACCCTTCCCAGTGTGGCTCCTAATTCTCCTATTCTACTAAACTGCTGTCTTTCTGAGTATCAGTGACTTCTTCATGATCAGATCTCTTGGCCTTATCTCATTTTCCCGTTCTTTGTGACCTCTCTGAAGCACTGGACATTCCTGAAGATAAGTCCTCTTGCTTTCTTGATGCTCTCCATCTCCATTGGCTTTTCTGACTCTGTTCTTTTCTGGTGGTTCTCCCTTATTTAACTAAACCTTAGCTGAGTCCTTAAATAAATGCATTCATTTCTTGAAGGTATAACAATACCTCTATTCTTTTTTTTCCCTTCTTTCTTCTCTATATCCTCTTACCTGGAGATCTCATCTAGAGTTTAACTTTTCCCTCTATGCAAATGATTCTCCAATCTATATCTCTAGCTTTCAAACTCTAGGCTGTGTTTCCAATGACATACTGCACAGTTCCACCCAGATGGGCCGCCTACACCTCAAAACGCAACATGTCTGAAATGGAATTCATTATCTCTACCTCCCCACACCCCTAGACCTGGCTCTTCTTCCTGACTTCCCTACTTCTGATGACTACACAATTTTCCTCATCACTCAGATTTGAAACCTGAAGGTCATCTCCCTGACACACATTATAAATCGAATCAAGTCCATTCCTTCTTTTCATTCTCAATGCCAGCAACCTAGTGCAAGACCTCATGACCTCTCCATTGTTACAATAGCCTCCCATTGATCTTTCTGCAGCCAGGTTCAATTTGCTCCAATTCAAAGCATGTGTTGCTATGAGATCATTCTTCCTAATTCAGAGATTTGAGAATGTCAGTTTCCCACTTATAAAAACAACCACAAAATCGTCAGTGGCTTTCCATTTCCTCATGAATAATCTTATCTTAGTATTCAAGGCTTTCTACAATTTAACCCCAAGTAATCTTTTCAACTTTATTTCCCATTGTTGTTGTTAAGTCATTTTTCAGTCATGAACTATTTCTTTTCCAGCTCATTTTACAGATGAGGAAACTGAAGCAAACAGGTTAAGTGACTTGCCCAGGGTCACACAGTTAGTAAGTATCTGAAGCCAGATTTGAACTCAGAAAAAGTCTTCCTGACTCCAGTCCCAGTGCTCTATCCACTATACCACCTAGCTGCCATATTTCCCCTCGTTCTCCTAGAAAATGTCTCACATATTCCCTTTTTTTATGCTTTTGCGTATCATTCCCTATACTTGGAATATCCCACCTCTTCCCCACCCATCACTTATTCATTTTAGTTCAATTCACAAAACATTTAAATGTCTGCTATATGCCAGGTTGGATATGGAAAAATGAAAAACTGATGAATTTAAGAAATTTTCAAGTAAGTAGGGAGATGAGACCTTTAGACTAGGAATTAAATGGTAGTTAGTATGTTTCATGCATATTCCAGTACTGAATTACTATCCATTGTAAAGCCTAATTTAAATTATTATTACTAATAATATTAATGTAGTAACATTAACAATAATATAAAAATAATAGCTAGTGTTCTCTCCAGGCTCCAGTGCTGACTGTTTGGACTTTCTCTCCCATTCACAGAAGCCTCCTCACTCTGGAAGTTTATTCTACCCCTGGATCTCACAATGAAAAGTACACCCTATCCTCTGATTGACTGGTTCCCCCCCCACCAAACCTTTATTTTAAAGCAGTCACCCTGGCCAGTCATGTCCTCAGTCCCCTCTAGACTCCACTCTACTCTCTGAACTTTCTCTACCATGCATTGGGTATATTCTTTCTTCCCCTCCTCACTTCCCCACTTTCAGCTTCCTTTTAAGTATTGTTTTCCCATATTGGAATATAAGCTCCTTAAGGATAGGATGGGCTTTCTGCTGGTCTTTGTATTCCCAGTGCTTAGCAAAATGTCTGGTATATAGTAAATACTTAATAAATGATTGCTGACTTGACTTAACTTGACTATCATTTACAGATATTATCTCATTTTATCCTCAAAACCACCTTGAGAGATGGGTTTTATTATTTTTAACCTCATTTTATAGTTGAGAAAACTAAGGCAGATAAAGGTTAGGTGACTTGCCCAGGGTCACATAATTTATGTGGCTAAGGCAAATGAGTTAGAGTCAGTAAATTAGGGTTTTGAGTACCTACTATATGTCAAGCATTGTGCCACACTCCAGGAATACCAAAAAAGTTTTTTTTTTTTTTTTTTTTTTAAAGAGGAGGAATAGTACAGAATTTGGAATCATAGAATTAATTTAAGTTCAAATTCTGGCTCTGCCACTTGCTGCCTGTGTCATTTATACTCACTGGGCCTTGGTTTACTTATTTGTAAAATTAGTAGATAACCTCTCAGATACCTTCTAGCTCTAAATCTATGATACAGAAAGCTTCCCCTAATTACCCTGGTGACTCTTCCTTTTGGTACTACCCATAGCACTTTGTTTTGTCTTTCTCTGATGCACTTATTATATGTAATTGTGTACTTATTTAACTAATATTTATTAAATGCCTACTAGATGCAGGGCACTGTGCTTGGCACTAAGAATACAAAGTCTAAACACACATTTCCTACCTTCAAGTTTATTGTGGGGATCAAATGTGATATTATACTTAAAAGGCTTTGTACACCTTGGCTATATACGTGACAGCTATTATTACCAGCACTGAGAACCACTGAAAGTTTTCTAGTGCTTAATGCACAATGCCTGCCACAAAGAGATAGGGACTGGACCTGTGATTTTGTTGGACTACAGAACTCCTTGAACTCCCCACTAGCCTTAGGGAGCTGTCCAGAGTACTTAGAGGTTGTGACTTCCCCAGGGTGACACAGCAAGTATGTGGTGTAGGTGGGACTTCAACTCAGGTCTTCCTGGTTCTGAGACCGTCCCTCTACCAAGTACCTCAATGATTGAAAAACCACAAAAAAGACTCTGGAATAAGAATGGAACTTCTAGGGGCCTTGATCTGTGAAAAATATGACGAATGAGGACAAAATCAAGAGAGATGAAATAAAAAGGAAGAATCTTTGTTGGTTACGTAGGGAAATGACTTTTTTATCTAAGGCCAAGGTGAAGGGGCAACATCCAGGATGGCTAAGGCAGTGGCAGAATGCAGTGTAGCCAGGGGCCAGAAGAGGCAATCTGGAGGGCTGGATCTAGGAAAGATGATTAAGAAGCAAGTTCAAAGGAGACCAGAAGCCTGAGGACCCTCATTTAATTGCTCAGCATCCAAACCAGTGCAGAAACCTGATGTTGGAGAAGTCCTCCCTTACTTGTAACTCTAGCTATTTCATGCTGTGTTTTTGTTGCTGTGCTGTTCATTTCTTAGTAAAGTTATAGCCCTTTAAATCTCTAAGCTTCTTGCACATTTGGAAGGAAGAAGGAAGCATAAAGTAGTAGAGGATTGGATTTGGATTCAGAGGTCCAGTTTGGAGGACCTGCGTTCAAATGTAA